CAATATTATTTTTTTTTTATATTTTTATGGCAGATTCGTGGTTCAAATAGCTTCTACTGACTATCAATGGCTCTTAGTCACTATTTCGACTTACCTGATTGTGTGCAGACTGAGTTGGCCTAATATGGCTATTATTGGCTATATGATTATGTTTATAAATTATAATGTAGGCTTGGGGTTCAAATGACTTCTAGTGACTATCAATCACTATCAGTCACTAATTCGATTTATTTGATTTTATGCAGGCTCAGTTGGGACTTCCAATGGCTACTATTGGCTATACAATCATATATTTTTTATATCTACAGCAGATTCGGGGTCCAAATGACTTCTAGAGACTTTCGATGGCTATTAGTCACTATTTCGACTTTCCTGATTGTGTGCAGACTGATTTGGCTTCATATGGCTATTATTGGCTATATTATCATGTTTATAAATTCTATGGCAAATTTGGGGTCCAAATGACTCCTAGTGACTATCAATGATCAGTCACTATTTCGACTTATTTGATTTTATGCAGGCTGAGTTGGCTTCCAATGGCTATTATTGGCTATATGCATCTGTTATTGACCTGGTTGGCTCGAATTGCCAAAAAATGGTTATTACTGGTTATTGGTCGCAATATTCTGCTATTCTATACTTATGAATGAAAATGGCTTCAAGTGGCTATTGTTAGCCAATTGCACATCATCTTAACAATATCACCTTAAATCGCTTCAGAATGAACATTAGTTACATTGAGCGACATAGTATTCATGATGTTTTGAATGTGAATGGATTCAAGTGTACTATTATTGGCTATGGGCAGTTCTTGGCCAAATCGGATTGAAATGGCTATACATGTCTATCGGCGACTATTATTGGCAATTTATGCAATTGGAGTGTGTATAGATTTGAATGACTTCAACTGGATAGTACTGGCTACCGGTATCTATTCTAGACTTGGTTGGCTTGGATTGGCTATTATTGGCTATAATCATCTGTTCCTGGCTTGGGTGGCTTGAATTGACTACAAATGGCTTAAAGTGGCTAGTATTTATAATTAGCAACTATTTCTGTCTCCGAACTGAAATGGCTCCATACGGCTAGTTTTGGCTATTACCATCTATTTTTTTACCAGACTGGCTTCAAATGGCTAAATTGGCTATTCATGAATAAAGTTGACAATTCTTGCTTTTTCAGTGATTATGATGGAATTGACTTCAAATGGCTATTATTGGCTTACTAGTATCTATTTTACTGGATTGGCTTGAAATGGCTATACATGGCTGTCAGCAACTATTATTTACAATTTATGCAATTGGAGCCTATATAGATTTGAGTGACTTCAAATGGATATTATTAGCTATAGGCATCTATTCTTGACTTGGTTGGCTTGGAGTGGCTATTAGTGGCTATAATCATCTGTTCCTAACCTGGGCGGCTTGAATTGGCTACAAATGGCTTAAAGTGACTAGTATTTATAATTAGCAACTATTTCTTTGTCTACGAACTGAAATGGCTCCATACGGCTAGTTTTGGCTATTACCATCTATTTTCACCAGAATTGCTTCAAATGGCTATGCATGGCTATTCATGAATATCCATTGAATGGCTATTCATGAATATCCACAATTATACTTGCTATAGCCATTGCTAGCCCATTGAAGCCAACCTGGTTAAAAATGAATGATAATAGAGAACAACAGCTACTAAAAGCATGTCCGGTTAGTTAACATTAAAATTGCTCATAACTATCAAGACTAGCCACTAATAGCCATTTGTGGCTATTTCAAGCCAATTCGATAAAGAATAAATGCTTATAGCCAGTAATAGCCACTTGTAGCCAGTTTCATCCAAAACTACTGAAAAAGCACAGAATTGTCAATTATACTTCCTAATAGCCATTGCAAGCCATTTGAGGCAAATCGGCCAGAAATAGATGCTAATAGTCAACAATAGCCAATAAAAGCCATTTCAGTTAGTAAACATGAAACCTGCTTATAAATATCAACACTAGTCACTACTAGCCATTCTTAGCAATTTTAAGCCAATCTAAATGCTTATAGCCAGTAATAGCCACTTGTATCCACTTTCATTTAAAAACACTGAAATAGCACATAATTGTCAATTATATCAATTATACTCGCTAATAGCTATTGCAAGCCATTTGAGACAAATGTGGCCAGAAATGGATGCTAATAGCCAACAATAGCCACTAAAAGCCATTCCAGTTAGTAAACATAAAACCTGCTTATAAATATAAACACTAGTCACTACTAGCCATTTGTAGCAATTTTAAGCCAATCTAAATGCTTATAGCCAGTAATAGCGACTTGTAGCCAGTTTCATCCAAAACTACTGAAATAGCACATAATTGTCAATTATACTCACTAATAGCCATTGCAAGCCATTTGAGGCGAATCTGGCCAGAAATAGATGCTAATAGCCAACAATAGCCACTAAAAGCCATTCCAGTTAATAAACATAAAACCTGCTGATAAATATCAACATTAGTAACCACTAGCCATTTGTAGCAATATTAAGCCAATCTAAATGCTTATAGCCAGTAATAGCCACTTGTAGCCAGTTTCATCCAAAAATACTGAAATAGCACATAATTGTCAATTATACTCACTAATAGCCATTGCTAGCCATTTCAAGCCCATCTGGTCAGAAATAGATGATAAAAGCCAACAATAGCCACTTAAAGCCAGTCCAGTCGGTGAACACAAAAATCACTCATAACTGTCAACAGTAGTCATTAATAGCCATTTGTAGCCAAATTAAGCCATGCATTGTAATAAAAATAAATGTTTATAGCCAGTAATAGCCACTTGTGGCCATTTTCATCCATAAACACTGAAATAACCCATAATTGTCAATTATACTTACAAATAGCCATTGCTAGCCATTTGAAGCAAATCTGGTCAGAAACATATGCTAATAGCCAACAATAGCCCCTTAAAGTCATTCCAGTTAGTAAACACTAAAACACCCATAAATATCAACACTAGTCACTACTAGCCATTTGTAGTCATTTCAATCAAATTTATCTGAAATTTGATGCATAAGCCAATAATAGCCGCTTGAAGCCATACTCATTTTTAAGTACTGAAATAGCACATAATTGTTTAATGATCTCATCAATATCCATCAGCAGCCATTTCAATTCAATCTGGTCAAAAATAAATACAAATAGCCAACATTATTTACTTGAAGCCAATCCATTTTGTAAATATAAAAATAGCTCAAGTAATAGTTATCGACTAATTGCGGTTTTGTAGCCATTTGCAGCCAATCTATTGCAAAATAGGTGCTTATAGCCAATAATAGCCACTTGAAGCCATTCTCATTTATAAACACTCAGACAGCAGATAATTGATATTATACTGACTAACAGCCATTAGTAGCCATTGAGCCTATCTGGTCAGAAATATATTCTAATAGTCAACAATGAGCCACCTGAAGTAATTCCAGTTTATAAACAGAAATACATCAGTTTTCATGACTCATTAGTATTTGTAGCCATATCTATCAAATATATATAATAGTGGAGGCTGATATCCAATAATAGCCAGTTGAAACCATATGCATTCACCAATGCCGAAAGAGATAATGGTCAATTATCTCATCAATAGCCATTGGCAGCCATTTAAGGTCAATCTTGTCAAAGATGATGCTAATAGCCAACAAAAGTTACCTGAAGCCGTTCATAAGAGTAAGCAAACAGAAAAATAACATAATTATCAATAATAATCACTTCTAGTCACTTGGAGTCATTTCAAGTCGGTCTCATAAAAAATTGATGCCTGTTGCCAATTATGGTCACTTGGAGCCAAGGGCATATGTTTCGGTAGGAATAAAACAAATAAATCAACAAGCTCAGAAAAGGTTAATAATCATTTAGATTGTACAAAATCACTATACAAACCCTGACTGGTCTATACAACACACTGCATTTTGACATCAAAATACCAAGAGGTCCAATAGACCTTATTCAGATTCGCGCGCCACCTGTTGCATCCTGCACCAACCTCTTCCCGTCGCCATCTTTGAGGCTACTATTGCGGTGGCTGAACCCCGAGATGCCGCACTACTGCTGTGTGCCGCTCTGTGTGCAACGCGGAAACAAGGGACCATCCGGAGAAAAGGTACGGACCGTAGAGAAATTGTTTTAGATCTCGAGTTTGGTTCTTACAATTAACCTTTGGAGAACCGTAGCGTTTTGCTAACAGTGTCAGAGCTGCTCAAGGGCAGTTACGCGGGTGTTGTACGGCTCTACCGCGGTCTGAACACATCTCCTTGGTGCACGGTGCCTCTGTACCGCTCATACATCACTGTATCGTAGTGATTGTCCACGCTTTCGTCTAAGCTTTGCTGCATGAGTAACCGCGAGACGAGGCTGATCTTCGTCGTTCAACGTAGACAAGGCTCGGCCGCTTTGGCTCTGTTAACCCTGATCTGCGCCTCTGCGCACTTCGTTTCTACGTTTGTTTTCGACCAAAGAAAGTCAATCTATACTGTATTACTACTAGTCAAGGATAACCTCGTTTCGCACCTGAATTTTATTGCCGCGAGCGAAGACGATAATGTGGGCGCTCGCAACGTGCATGCCCCGGAGGCCGGCCAGCAGACTCACTCGCGTGCGCGTTTTCTCCTTTCTGCTTCGCCCCGCATGTCCTCCGGGACCACGGTGTCCAGGACAGAACCAGCTCTTTGTGAAAATAAAGATTAGTTTTATTACTATTAGATAAAAGTAGGAGTGCGGAGCGTGGTTGCTGTTGTGCTCGTGTTGATATGTACGCTTGACGCTCGCACGTACTCGCTTGCCCACGCAGCAACCTCGTCTGGGGGAGCGGTTTTCTCGTTCAGAACATAATAAATAACGAAAGCAACAGATTTTATGCTCACTGATCACAGTGGAGAGAAGTGTTAAAGTACGCACATAGCACCAATAAATATTTATTTTCTGCCTTCCGGTGATCAGGACACTGAAGCATGCATGTCTAAGAGTAAATATGTGCTCAGAAACATTGAATGGTTTTACATATTACAGCTCTAAACTTACGCTGCATCACAGTAAGTGTGAATAGATCGGAGCTTTATATGTCTTCTCAGATACAAAATTTTGCTGACGTAAGTTATATTTTTCTAGTAGCCATTAGTCCAGTCTTTCAGCTCTTTGAGAAAACAAAAAAAAATACAGCACTTGCATATTTCAGCTCTAACATACTCTTGTTGTGTTTCAAAACTGCAGGTATCATTCCATGGGTTTCCCAAGACGCCATCTCTCCAAAATGACTGGATCATTGCTGTGAAGAGGGCCCCGCCTTTCAACTTCGCAGGGGCAAAAGTTTGCTCAAGACATTTCACTGCAAGAGATTTCGTGTGCAATGTTGCAAACGGCAGAAAAATGCTCCACACTAATGCCGTACCATCTGTCTTCGCTTTTAAGAAGCCATCAAAACAACGGAAGGCACCGAAGGTTCGGGAAGCCCTGAAGAAGGTATGCCATCCTCCACAACTGCAAGCCGAAAGAGCAAGTGCACCCATTGACGAGGCCCCTGAGGACATCAGCATGGAACTCGAAGACGACACTGAAAACGTTCAAGCACAGCAGATACATCCAGGAGGTGCTCTACAGAATGTAAACACAGAAAATGAAAGGGACAAGGAGCTGCAGAAACTGCGAAGGCACATTGCCTGCCTTGAGCAAGAACTTCTACAGGTGAAGAACAAGAACTACAGACTCGAAGAAGAAAAACAGCTGCTCAAGATATCATGCAACAGCATGACGGCCAAGCTGAGGAGTCCCCTTGACAAGGCAAAAAACAGCAACGACGACTTTCTTTTTTATACTGGACTCCCAAGCTACAAGGTTTTTCAAGCCTTGTTGAAGTATTTGGACCCCGGAGTGCAGGGAAGCCACATACAGTACGGAACGTCGAGCGACGCAGTGACACAGAATCGTTGGCCACCGTTACTCACAGTGGAGGAACAACTCTTCCTCACTCTAGCTAAGCTAAGGTTGGGTTTGTTCGAAAAGGACCTGGCCAACAGATTTAACATCTCTCAGAGCACAGTGAGTAGAATATTTTCAACGTGGGTGAACTTCTTGTTCCTGAGGCTGTGTGAACTGCGCTTGTGGCAGTCAAGAGAACTGATCAACAGAAGAATGCCTGAGGAGTTCAAGAGGTGTTACGGTACTACGAGGGTCATTATCGATGCAACTGAAATCGAAGTAGAAATACCGAGCTCATTCGTCCTCCAGTCGGAGACGTACTCTGTCTACAAATCTACCAACACACTTAAGGGACTAGTGGGCATCTCACCGGATGGGTACATAACCTTTCTCTCTTCCCTTTTCACAGGGTGTATTTCTGACAAAGAGTTAGTGAAGAAGAGTGGGTTTCTGGATTTGCCCTTTGATGACAATGATTCTGTCATGGCCGACAAAGGCTTTAAGATCAGTGACTTGCTCCAGCCTCTGGGGGTGCGACTAAACCTCCCACCATTTGTGAGTGGTGGACACCTCTCTAAGGAAGATGTCGCACTCACAGAGGAGATAGCATCCCTTCGCATCCACGTCGAACGACGAATCCAGCGCATAAAATGTTTTCATATATTCGACAGTGCTCTTCCAATCACGCTTGGTCCACTTGCAAACCAAGTGTGGACCATTTGTTGTATACTTTCTAATTTTCAATCTCCACTGTTACAAAAGCAAGATTAGTTTGTCAGGTTTGAGAGTTCATGTAATACATTTTAGCACTCAAAAGACAAGGACACAAATGCGAGAATCAGACACCAGAGCGCACTGTGGTGTCCGATTCTCGTCTTTGTGTCCTTGTCTTTTGAGCGCCAAAATGTATTCCAAGTTCCAAAACCGCACTGTGATGTCTGATTCGAGTCTTTGTGTCCTTGTCTTTTGAGCGCCAAAATGTATTCCCAAGTTCGAAAACCAACTAGCCCAACAGTCTACTCTACTAGAATTTATTTCTAGTATAATGGGCCCTTTTATCTGTTCAGCACACTTTGGTGTCTGATTCTCGTCTTGTTGTCCTTGTCTTTTGAGCGCTAAAATGTATTCCAAGTTCCAAAACCAACTAGCCCAACAGTCTACTCTACTAAAATTTATTTCTAGTATAGTGGGCCCTTTTATCTGTTCAGCACACTTTGGTGTCTGATTCTCGTCTTTGTGTCCTTGTCTTTAGAGCGCTAAAATGTATTCCAAGTTCCAAAACCAACTTTCCCAACACTCTACTCTATTGAGAGTTCAGGTCGTTAATTGTATTTCTATCATTGCTACACAGCCTGGAGAAGTGTAGAAATAAAAATCAAGAATCATATTTCTCTTTACTTTTCTAGCAGCCTTGCCGTGTCGATTACTCAGTCATAAAAAACGGAAGTGCAACATTAAAATAAAACCTGTCCAGCTTCAACTTTGTCGCATCCCAGAAGGCTTGGTCGAACTTCACCTTAGTAATAATCAGCCAAGAGCTGCTGAACACAACGAAATGCGCCCATGAAAGTCCTGCACAATACATCTGTCCCATCACTTGATAGTATGCACTTGTACTTTTCTTCAAGTACGGCTTTCCGTTCACCATCTCGATGTAGAAGCAGGGGTCGGCGAGGGCACTGCTTAGGGTGCTTGAGCGTTTCGTCCAAGGGCACTTCACCTCCAACACCCCAAACGGAGTGTCCTCATGTGCACAATAGACAAATCTGTCAGGCGTGGCACCAATCCAGGGGGACTGTGGTGGCACCAACAGTCCTGAAGCATGCGTGTGGGGTTGGTACCCAAGAAGGTCCATCACCTCCTCGTAGCGTTCCACTGCTCGTGGCTCGTTCAGAATCCCATACTTGACGGGTGCAGCGTGGCCGATATCCTTCGGCCGTAGCAAGTTGTTCAGTGACACATCACTCCAGGGCTGTTTCCTGTCACATATTCGCTGAAACACTGAGGCAGTTATCCTAAAACGACGGCATTCCTTCCAGAGGTTGCATCGGGACTGCAGGCGTGTGTTAAACTCGAGCTCCCGTGCTGTGTCAGCTGTCAGAACGATGTCCTGCAAAAGAAATGTCAACATTACTTGTAATAGTCCATACTTGATAAAGGCAGAGGTGAAATTGCAGGCAAATTCACTCTGCCAATGGTTACTATACTCCACCATCACAATAAATAAAATAAGTTTACTTTGGCTTAATACAACACAAGAAATAACAAAACAGACGTTTCGCCACCTATCCGGGTGGCATTATCAGTATGCACTGGCCCCAGTGGCGCGGAGAGCCAAAACAAATCCATTTGATTAAAGTGGATTGGTTTTGGCTCTCCCCACCATTGGAACCAGTGCATACTGATTATGCCACCCGGATAGGTGGCGAAACGTCTGTGTTGTTATTTTTTGTGTTGTGTTAAGCCAAAGTAAACTTGTTTCATTATGACTGCCCCTGGCTTTTGGAAAATATTTGCATCACAATAAATGTAAATGAAGCAGAGGCTACAAGTGTGAGCTCAGACGTGTTGCTGTTGAGGCAAGTAAGTGTGCCCCGAATCCGAATGAAAACTCAATATTGCTACAAGTGGCCTACATTTGTATCCACCAAATTTTTTCATTACTGTTTCTGGTTGTTTTATTAAGTGAGTACACCTCGCAGACTATGCGGCTTTTAGAGATGCCTGTGGTGCTGCACACTGCCATAGACCGACACGGTGTTAACAAACAAGCCTGTGTTTGCCCACACCTGGTGTGGGCACTGCGCGAGCATAGAAACCAGATTTGCGTTTGTTGAAGCTTCTGCGCAGGCACCGTGGCAACAACAGCACCACCGTAGAGGCATGATGTCGAAGCCATGTGTTTGTCTATATCTCGGTCAGAAGGGTTAAGGTCCCGACTACCAACCTACGTCGTGTCAAAGTAGCTTTTGCTGGATTTTATGGTATGAAAGTTTGGTAGTACTGTTGGGGTTTCTATAGGTGAGTGGTGTCCTGCAATATGAAATGCCCCACAGAGCATGAGGTATACTCGGGGTCAACTTTCTGTGGCAAATTTATAAGAGCTTGTGTTCTAAGCGTTGAATCAAGTTGTGCATACACACTCCTCATCAAAAATACCACAGAGGGTATAATCCGAGTATAGTGCTGCTCATGTTCGGTCTGTTTGTTTCCTGAAGAAAGTAAATGGTCTGTATGAAAGATTTCACCGTCCCGCTTACCTTCAAGATCATTGGTGTCAAACCACGTTCACTTGGCAGCCACACCTCACTCTCTTCAAATAGGCAAAGCTCTGCTGCATCAGTAGAGCACATAGTGCGCACTTCATCTGATAGTTCGGTGAACACAGTCTTGAACTCGTATCGGAGCTGCTGTTCTGGTAGCTGCACAGCCATCGCAGAGCCGACCGGAGCTGCACCAAACTTCGTGGGCACAAACACTGCACTTTCTGCTTCTAAGAGTACTGCTCCGAACCCTTCAGGGTTCAAACTTAAAAGGTCTTGTGCAAGGTTCAACACCGCTTCCTTTTGTTCGTTCACACTCCTTTTCCTCTTGCGCACATCAAACAGCTTACATGGCAGAGCATCAGACAGCCCGTTTACTTCAACACGCCGCCAGTTCACCTCGAGAACACTTTCTGCAGCCATTCTGTGTCTTGGTCTGCTCCATTGCTGTGGCAGCTCGGTCGGCGACAGCTCAGTGGGTGGGTTGCTGTAGCCATGTTCCGCTAGCAGAGCCAGCATCCGCAAGATTGCCATGGTATGGTTGCAGTAGCCAGCTGCTCCGGCAGGGCAGTTGCAGCTGGTGTGTAGCACCTCGTCTGGTGACAACATCATTTGTACCTTGTAAGGTGGTTGCGTCTTTTTTTGGCTCTTGTAGCAGGTGCCTGTGACTAAGTGGTGTGACTCGCCAGCGCTGCAGCAGAAATACTGGCATTAGTGAAATATGCACAGTTATAGCTCGAAATACACTAACGAAGTGGCAGAAAACGACAAATGCAAAAGTAAAAAAAAAAAAGCAACAAAAAGATGCACACAGGTCCAGACCTCTGTGCTTGAGTAACCTTTGTATCAGGCATGAAGCCAGAATTTTGTTTCGGCAAGAAAGGGAGGGGGGGGGGGGGGGGGGGGCGGGGGGGTGCATCCCTGGCTATGTGTTTGCTCAGCATGTATTTATCCCCCACAATACAAGGCTGCAGCGCAATACGCGATACAGATTTACGAATACAGAAAGTCGTTCTCGAGGGCGCGATAGCCCTGCGGCGGCGAGGATCAAAGCATGCTTTGAAGGAAAGCAATGAGTTGGTAGCATATATCGAGGTGACGAGTGCGGGCGCCCAGATTTAATCGGCACTCAAGGTGCGCGAGCGCACCTTTGTTTCTAGTGCCGAAAAGAGTTGTGCCTCGGTATACAAAAAAACGGTCTGCTAATATTTACATCGCGCTGTTTTGTAACATTCACTTTTAGGACATGCGTGACTATATTTTGTTCGACAAGTGGCCAAAACAAACGACTCGATCATACCAACGCGGAGTTAGTTATCCGCGCTCAAACGCAAGCCGCTTCTCCACAGACTACCAGCTTTCCCGCAGATCGCGAACACGAAAATGGTGAGTAGAAACAACTCCTTCCACATGAAATAGCCACTGTGATAAGTACGGCACAAAAATCTCACCTCGTAGAAACAGGCATCGTCCGCAGGTCGGGCAGATTGACGTACGACTCTGTGACGAACTTGTAGCTGCGCCGGCTCTGCCGGTCGGATGAAGTTCTCGACGAATAAAAGCGGTTTACGTAAGAGCCGTCAACGAACTTCAGCCTGGTGATGTCCGTGGTCCATTCCGGGACGGCAGACGCCATCGCGACTCTTGAAGATTAAACAAAACCAGAGCAGTTACGATTTACGCGGAGAGCGAACACAAACTGACAGCTACGCAGCAGGGAAGCGCTGGCCGGGGAAGCCTCAAAGATGGCGCTGAGGCTGCAATGGTTCGCGCGGCCGTCAAGAGATGGCGCTAATAGTGAATAAGGTCTATATCACGAGCTTGTGGTCATGGTCCATAAAAAAATTGGAATATTTCATAGACTATCAATTTCTCTAGTGAGTCAGATCCACTTGATTCATTTCCGGGGAAAGTGGCGAGTTGTCCACTCCACACCGCCAGGATCGCTTTCTACTTCCGTCTCCCATTTTAGCCCGGAGTTTCCTGTATTATTCTCAACGGTATTTGGTTAGTTTCTCCTCGCGATACCACGGGCTGTCGATAGATGGCGCCACTATGGGTTCGGCGCAAGTTCGAGGCTGTTCGGCGCAGGTATTTTTTTCGTTTTCTCGGGGAAACCTTTTTTTCCAAATCGCTTTTCTTTTTTTTTTTTGCTTCTTTCTTTTTTTTTTTTGGGGGGGGGGGGGTGATGGGCAAGGATGTTTTAATAAATGAGTTGGTACAGCCTGCCTTGACGGGTTTATATTTCAGTATTTATTAACTTAATTCTTACCTGCGGCAGGAAAATCATTGGAGCGGGGACACTCTTTTATCTAAGCAATAAGCACATAATGTTTTTGCTACACAGATATATCAAACAATAAACATATAGATCAGTCTGTAAACGGGTTTATGAGCGGGTGCTGACGCGCGTGTGCGATTATGTTTCGTTACATTAATGCCTAGGGTTGCTATGTAGGCCAGGGATGTTTTTT